TATGGGACTACGGAAGCCCTCGGAAAGCGATGACGACGCGAAGAAACCATCTCTGCCTGATGCAAACTCGAAAAGGACATCACGAGCATTGCAAAACACGCAAGTGTCTAGTGGCTCCTTGGGTTCTGGCAGCCGCATAGTTGGAAGAATTCGCAAGAATTCGATAAGCGGAGCTCCAACTGAGACCAAAGAGGGCACGTGGTTGAAATCATCAAAGAAGAACAAAGCAGAGAAGGAGGCATCGAAACCGTCCAAGAGGTGGAACTTCTTCCAACGTGCACATGCGGGACCACGTGCAGACACACCAGCAGGTCATGCAGCCAGTCCTAGCAACACGGTCAGCGCTTCTCGCTCTGTTGCACATTATGCCTTGATGGACCAGTCCGGTCTTGAGCTTAACGATATAGAGCAGCTCATGCAGGAGGCTGATGAAGGCACAGAGAGTGCTCTTTCAGATGATGAGCCTGGAAGGAAGGAAAGAATGCTCTCTATGCTGCTGCCACCCAAGCCAATTCTTGAACCTAGCTTTGTGTCTACAGCACGCCCAGCCTCACCCAAGGTCTTCTTACGCCCAGAGGCGCCGCCACAACCCGAACAGCAACAGAGCAAGTTGTTTATTGATACCAACGTGCCAGCGTCCTACAACCCTGAGCGTTATTCGCTCGCAGACCTGACGCCCGTCACCGATCTCTCTCGGCCTACGTCTCCCTTCGAGCAGCCTTTCCCAGTACAAGATTATGGGGTTGCCCCATCGCAGGATGCAGCACTTGCTTTGCAACCATCGGAACCTGAGCCTCAAATTCCCAACTCTCCGCCTAGTCAAGAAGCCCATGTTCGTCCGCAAGACATCTCCTCGCCTGGGCTTCCACCAGCAAATCCACCTCCACGCCCAAGCCGCTTGGCTCAAGTCGGTCGCATCCCTCAAGTTGTCTCCACCCGCCGCCAACCAGGACGCCCATCATCTAGATCGTTTTCTCGCCCTTTTGTTCCAAATCAACCTCGTCCCGCAGCTCTTCCTCGGACATCTTTTGATTCTATCAGCCCCGTAGTTGCAACCGCGGGTCCGGTCGAGCCGTATCCTATCCTTCAAGGCTTGAGCGCTCTTGCGCATGGATCAGCTATTGCAGCTATGAGCCCCGAGGAGGATGAGGCCAACCGCCGAAGTGAATTCTTCAAGTTTCCGCCTCGTAAGGATTCGGAGGTATCATACTCGAGTAGCTCTGGCATTTGGAGCTTTGCCCCAGCTGCAAGCACTGCTGTGGTGCCTAGCCCTGGAGCACCATTGTCCGAAGATGAGCTCTGGAATGAGTACGACGATCTGATTGACGAGGTTCTCTCGCCTGTCACTTCTCACGCCGCTGAGCATAGGAATACCCTTCGCAGTCATCCTTCTCTTGAACCAATGCCTTTGCGACCCAAGGCACCAGTCAATGTACCAGATTCAGAGCGCGACGACGATGAAGTCACAAACCCATCTCTGCACCTACGCCGCTCTCGTCTGCTGGCTGTTTTGCATTCCAATCAGTCCCCGGCTTCCTCAGTATCTTTCTCAGAGTTTATCTCAGATTATGGGGAGCGCAAGATTAGCGTTATTGATCCCGTCACTGGAAGGCTGAGCCTGCCCGCCAGTCCTCGTCTTTCCACTGGATCCGCCACAAAACGCTCGACTCGCTCTAGTCTCCCAGCGTCTCTATCACACAATGTACGACAATCGAGATGTACCATCGCCTCTCAGTCAAGCAAAGACCGCACTAGTGCCGCCACGAGCCGGTATAGAGACTCGCAACTCATGGACATTGCTGAGAACCAAGCGGACGGACTGCTATCCATGGCAAATCTTCGTTTCGGTGCTCTTATGATAAGCAAGTGGCTTTCCTTCGGTCGCGTCTTGTTTAGCCCAATTCATTTTGAGCTCAAGAACCCAAAAGAGGACCGTGTTCTGGTCATTGATGGGCTCGGCAAAGACTGGTCTTACTACTGTGCGCTGACCTATCCCGAGGCGACTGTGTATGACATGGGGCCTGATCCATCTCCGACGACGTCATCTGAGGGTGCTGCTGAGGCTTGGTCGACTCTCGGTAACCACCGCCATATCTGCCATCCCTCTCTCAGCAAAGCTTTCCCGTTCCCTATGCATTTCTTTGCATGCGTTGTGCTTCGATTTCCGACTGCACTTCCTTCCTCTGAGCACCACTTTGTCCTTTCGGAAGCCAAGCGCGTCCTGCGTCCTGGTGGCTACCTCGAATTCAACGTCCTCGATATGGATCTTGTCAATATGGGCAACCGGGCGCGCCGTGCAGTCCGTGGCCTGAAGATGAGGATGCAGGTAGCGGATGAGAACATCTCGCTCCGCAACATCAGCGACGAGGTCATGGCCGGCATTGGTCGCAAAGGCTTCGTCGAATGCAACCGCTGTGTTGTTGGTGTCCCTGTTGCTGGAAAATTACCTAATCTCGAGGACATGAAGGCACCTGCCACCATGAGGAAAGACAGTACAGTAAGCTCAACAACAAAGACAAGCAACAATATGGCCTCACCTGATGGACCAAAGCCCGGAGTCTCCTTCTCTGATCTCCTCAACGCGTCTTCAGCATCAGAATCCACCAACAACGACATCACTGACATGGTGGCTCGCGTCGGTCGGTGGTGGTACTCCCGCTGCTACGAATCACTTGTTCTTCCTGAAGCTGGAGCACCTGGTGCCGCAGCTTCAGGAACTATGCTCGAGAACAGCATCTGGCGCGACGAAAGCCTCATCAGTGAATGCGAGAAGCGTGGCACAAGCTTCAAACTTCTTATCGGCTACGCGCAAAAGCCTGAGATGGGCGTCCGACGCACCGTCAGTGTCTGATTATTCTTCGTTTCTTTCGAGCTGTGCTCCAAAGGTCCAGGAGACCTTTATACCCTATTGTTCTTAATGCGTTTTGTCGTTTTCTGGGACTTTTTTTTTAACGGCGTTCTGCTGCGTTCAAGCGTTTGATATTTCCTTATACCCTCATTCGTTCAATTTGAGCTCTTTGCATAACAAACGGCGGCTTAGCATGATTACAAATACCACTACGACAGAACGGCGCGAGCCTGGGCGCATAATCATATGTCTCAGAAACAGTCCAGACATTTGTTTCAAGTTTTTTTCTTCTTTCTTTGGCCGGATTGGAACATGCTGGTAATGGACAATATCTCGGGACAATTGAGCAAAGGGAGGGTTTGGTGAAAGATAATACCCAGACATGTCGATGTGATCAAGGAACTTTTATGTAGATATGACAAGACGGTCATTGACCGATACGAAGAATGAATGATTTATATTTCCATCAATTACTGGTATCATAAGAATTTCCATGTCTACATTGAGACTATAGACCAGAACAAGATAGATCGACATGTGTATCGACCTGCCAAGCGCACTAATCCCAATATCCACAAGCGCCAATTGCTCAAGCATCCAACCAATCCGCTTGCAGCACCCTCAGCATTACCCTTCACTCCAACCCTTTCTCTCTTCTCCCACAATCAACTCGGAGAGAAAAAAAAGAACCCACTCTACTCTCAAAGAATCTGGAGTTCTCAACTATCAAGCGCAAAGTAGAGATACAAAGAAAGAGCAAGGAAATCAGAGGCGAAAAAAAGATGAATCAAAACTTCCAGGGCGCGCCGGACCGAGATGACATTCGGCTGCTGGACCAACTGCGTAGCCAGCTCATGCCTATGATCAAGACCATGGATCGACTACAAGCTGAGATGCAGTTCAAGATGAGCCGGGGGGAGGCTGTTGACTGGTAAGTGTTGGGGGAGAGGGGATGAGCATGCTTGTTCTTTGTGCAATTGCGAGGCGGTGTCGCGTTTTTGTTAGAACCGGTTTGCGCCTGCATCGTATATGTTTCTGGGTAGACAATATCTACGCCCCCCAAAAAAGAGGAAATTGCAACTTGATTGTTTGAGTTTGACTTGGAAAGCGCCATCAGGTTTTTAAGTAGTAGCATACAAAAACTAATATCCTTCCCCCCGGCAGGCCCCAAATCCATCGCGCAACGACCATGGTAACAAACTACATAACCTCCATCCACCTCCTCATCAACGGCGGCTTCCGGCACCAAAACAAGCTCGTCACGCAGAAACAGCGAATCCCGTCCAAAGACGCGGCTGGCAACCACATTCTCGACGCAGGCGGCAACGAGGTCTTTGTGGAACGCGACGTCCGACGGCGCCTCATTGCGACGCAGCCGCTACCCACTAACACGGAGAAATTCCAAGCCCTGCATCCCTTTCCGAACCCGTTGTACCCGATGAACGCGGGGGGCGGCATGGCGGCGGGTATGGCGGGGACGCTGCTGCGGAAGCGGCTCGAGCCCATGGAAGAAGGCTGGGTCGAAGACAAGATCCGCAAGGCAGCAGAGTGGTTGTACATCCCCGAAGAATGGGGCGTTGACATGAACAAGAAAGTCGCTACCAATAAGCAAGAAAAAAGCGAAAAGGAAGATGATGACGAAGATGACGATGCGGGGGTGCCAGAGTCTGAGCGCCTCGACTCTGAAGCTATACCTACGACACGTGTCAAGGATGTGCTTTCGGGCGATGCGATTAAAGATGTTTGGCAGCATGCGCACCAGGAGGTATTTGATATGAAGTATCTGCGGCAAACGTATCCGGCAAGTTACCCTGCGGAGGATGCGCAAGATGCGAATGAAGGCGAGGAAGAAGGGGATGATGATGATGATGAAGAAGAAGGGGATAACGAGGAAGAAGAGGAAGAAGAGTTTGAGGATGTCATGGATACGTCTGGGGGACAGGACGCAGGAGATGAGGAGTCGGCTAAGCCAAAGGTTATGAAGAAGAGAAAGGTGGTTGTGGGGAGGTTGCCGGTGCATCAGGCGGTGCCGGGCGCGCCGGTGTTTTCGCTGGGCGTAGTACAGAGATTCACGGAGACGGGAGAGGTATAGATGGGTTGATGAGGGGGGGAGGGAGGTTTACTCATTGTATGGTGGTATATCGTTTGATTCGGCATTCTATTTTACATTAATTGAGGGGTGGGGGGGTATCATGATTTTCTTTGGCTTATGTTTACTCTGGTCTGAGTGCGTACATACGTACGGGGAATAGCTCCTTCGGCATACCTTTCTGCTGCTCTGTGGCAACAATCTTCAGGCCAGCCTGTTGGAAGAGCATGCGGAACTTTGCGTCGGACCGTGTGACGCTCGAGTCTTCGTCGTCGTAGATGTCCTTGTGCTTGATATCCGTCGACATGTTTTCCTTGACAATGATACAACTCCTAAACGTATCCTGGCCTTCTGTTGCTGGTTTGAGTCCTTGCTTGCAGCGCTCGAGGTACACGACTAGTTGTGCGTCGGTCAAGTGTCCGAGGCACCACTGGTTCCAAATGACATCGTACGTGCCAGACTCGGGTATCCAGTCCTGTAGACCGAGATTGATAACCTCACCCAACTGGCCTCTTCCCTCCTTTTGTTCCTCGCTGGCTAGGCTTTGCACCAGCTCGTCGGTAAACTTCTTGACGGGCTCCACAACATCGACCTTTTCGCTCACGCCCAGCAGTAAACCTTTTGTTATGCGGCCGATACCCGCGCCACAGTCGGCTACACGCTGTAAAGGCGGCAGGGGTTCCTTGGAGGATGCATTGGCTCTGCCGCGGCGCAGCTTTGTGAGGAAGTTGGACGAGCCTTGCAAATCAATGCGCGTGGTCTGGGGGAAACCGCCAAGCATGCCGTTCACGTCGGCCGAGACGCTATTCCAGTACTCGAGCGAGTGAGAGACGTCTATCGAGGCGTCTGGGCGCTCGGCGTCGGGGGGTGAGGCGGACAGTGGGTCGCGGGTCATGTCCATTGTGGAGTATGGGCGAGTGACGAGAAGCTTGAGGAGAATCTGCGGTAGTTTGAGCACGTGAACCTTGACGGTTCTTTTCTGGAAGGCTGACATTGTTGTACTGTTTGTTTTTCCTTTTCTTCCCTACAGCAGATTCCCTGGATTTAACTGGGCGCTAGGCGGGCGGCATTGATCAGGGAATTTTTTTTCTTTCAAAGAGATCGGCATGAGGGCAGAAGTTTTGGAAGTCGATATGTACAATGACGCGAGCGGATAGCATGGTGGGGTAGTTTCCACTGCTGTCTGCCAATAAGCGTGACGATTGCTGTGCGCTCCAATCAACTGGCAACAACATCCGAGTGTGTTTCTCATTTATGGATCAGATAGGCATACCAAAATATGTGTAACTGTACGCGAAAACAATGCAGAGCGTCAGGTGCATTGGCAGCGGTATGCACGAGTCCAATGAGATTAAGAATTGCCGAATGCACCCACTCACACTCTCTCAATGATGCATACAATATAGTCATATCGAGTGTACGATGGATGGACCAATGGCATTCATCGGCATGAACAGATAGCTTGGTACGAGAAATGACCTAAGGCTTCCAGGGAGTGTGTAATACGAAACCAATGCAGAAAAACAAATGATAAGTACAGCAGTACTTACAGCGTGCGTGGAGAGACCGGGGAAACCGGGATGGGGTTCACGTGATGATAACGACCATGTCGAAAACATGGGCTAGTATACCATTTTCGGCGCCATTTTCTTTCGACCGGCAAGAAGAGTAGAGCCGAGCGTACTGGCTGTATCCAGGGACACGCATACCGGATGCTGAAAATGTGTAGTAGAAGTAGACAACGGAGGACAGGCATCTGAAAAAGGCAGTTGCATGCGGTGGGGCTAGCCTTAACCGCCTCATGGCGGGGTCCGCAGATGCCGATGGTACTACCGCACTCATCACTGGCCGGCGCAATAGATATCTGCAAACTATAGATAGCTGGCCATGTCCGCGTCAACAAGGGATATGTCCCGTATCTACTCGGCCTTGACCAGAGCTCCACTCCGCCCTCGTACATCGCTTTCTCTTCAGCCATTGCTATACAGGGTACCTGGTGCTAGCATCAGTCCGACTTGGAAATTCTACACGACTCACACTAAAAACATGTCTGACCTCTTCGTTGAGCTTACAGCGCCAAATGGCCGCAAGTATAAGCAGCCAAGAGGTCTCTTCATCAACAATGAGTTTGTCAAGTCCAAATCTGGTGAGACCATCACAACCATAAACCCCAGGTATGCCAAAAACCCCCCTGCAACACCCTGTCTGCGCTAAGCTAAGTCGGTCCAGCGACGAGAGCGAGATTACATCCGTCTATGCGGCTGGCCCAGAGGACGTCGATATTGCAGTAGCAGCAGCACGCAAGGCCCTGAACAACCCGGATTGGCGGGACATGGACTCGAATGTCCGAGCCGATCTATTGTACAAGTTTGCCCAATTGATTGATGAGCACAGAGAGACGCTGGCGACCATTGAGACGTGGGACAATGGCAAGCCCTACTTGGTCTCGCTCAATGAGGACTTGAGCGAAGTCGTCGGCACCATCAAGTACTATGCTGGATATGCCAACAAGATTCATGGCACCGTCATTAACACCTCACCCCTCAAGCTAGCCTACACTGTCCGGGAGCCAGTCGGTGTCTGTGCACAGATCATCCCGTAAGATGCTTTGGTTTGGGAGAATTTGACATGGAGGTACTGACTTCATCCAGTTGGAACTTTCCCCTGGCTATGGCGGCCTGGAAACTGGGTCCTGCCCTCTGTACCGGCAACACAGTAGTCATGAAAGCTGCTGAGCAGACGCCACTGTCCCTTCTGTATCTTGGATACCTGGTCAAAGAAGCCGGCTTCCCTCCAGGTGTCGTCAACTTCCTCAATGGCTGGGGCAGGACGGCTGGAGCTGCGCTGGCGCAGCATCTTGACGTGGACAAGATTGCCTTTACCGGATCGACAGCAACAGGAAAGGAGATTATGAAGATGGCTGCTATCAACATGAAGAACATTACACTCGAAACCGGAGGAAAGTCGCCATTGATTGTTTTCGATGATGCAGACTTTGATCAAGCCGTCAAGTGGGCGCACACGGGTATCATGTGGGATATGCCTATGCTCCTTGGTTGCATTTGACTGACAATTTTCAGGTACAACCAAGGCCAGGTGTGCACGTCAACATCAAGGATACTGGTGCAGGAGGGCATTTACGAAAAGTTTGTCGAGGCGTTCAAGAACTACGTCAAGACGGCTTCAGTCGTTGGAGATCCATTCAAGGACGACACGTTCCAAGGACCGCAAGTGACCAAGGCGCAGTTTGAGCGCGTGCTCTCGTACGTGGAATCGGGCAAATCAGAGGGAGCCACGCTGGTTGCAGGCGGCGAGGCGTACAAGAACGTAGGTGGTAAGGGCTTTTTCGTGGCACCTACCATTTTCAAGGATGTGACAGACTCGATGAAAATCTACCGCGAGGAAGTGTTTGGCCCGTTCGTGGCCATCAGTTCGTTCAAGGAAGAAGAGGAGGCAATCCGACGTGCAAACGACACTACGTATGGCTTGGGTGCAGCGGTGTTTACCGAAAACATTACCAAGGCGCACCGTGTAGCTCGACGGGTTGAAGCAGGCATGGTTTGGATCAATTCCAGCAACGACTCTGATTTGCGTGTTCCGTTTGGTGGCGTAAAGCAGAGCGGGATTGGCAGGGAGTGCGGTGAAGCTGGGCTGGAGGCGTACACCAACAAGAAGGTATGTGTGGGATGCATTGAGTGGCGTCATGTACCTGCTAACACGGCTGCTAGGCTATCCACGTTAACCTAGGTACCAAACTTTAAAGGCTTCAACGGCGCGACCATGGACGGCAAGCACAGGCATGAAGGCAGTGGGGCCCATGGGCAATCAGGCAAATATTTGCAAAGACGAAGGACGTCCAAGAGTTCCGCCCTTGGCGCCAGGGCTTGGACGGTTGACGGGAGGCCAGGTTTGCAGCAGAGCAGTACTTGTATGGTTGGTGTCATGAATACAAATGTCGGTGTACATGAGTTGAATGCCGGCTTGGTGATTTGTTTTGCGACGAAAGTGGTTCGTGTTTGAGGCGCATGGTATGTGCATGAAGAGCAGCCTGATGACGGCTTGGGCTGCCAATGGAAGAGAGCCGCAAGGGCAGGACATGACCTGTGGGAGTAGGCACATGTACATATACATATGTATGTACAGAACACGTGTAGGGTAGGGTTGTGCCCGCAGCCCGGAAGATCCGTTGGTCGGTAGGCCGGAGGGACTGCTGACAGTGGACCCATGATGTCGTTGGCGGGGTTGCAGTTGGGCGAATGTGTTCGGTGGGCTTGCAGCGTGGTTTTCTGCTCAGTCGGCCTGCGCCAATAAAGGGGGGGGGGGGGGTGAGGCGACGAGGAGAGGGCTGGCCTACCGTCCTGCCAGCTAGTCCATGGTTGAAGGCTGGGCGGGTGCAAGAGGAGTGATAGGTCACGTTGCGTGCCCAGAGGCTCTCTCTGATGCAAGGGCTTGTAATCCTTGCCCGCAATCTTGGCGAAGTCGCGTTGTGGGAGCTGTCGACTGTTTTTCTCCTCCGTGTTCTCTTGCTCTCTTTCTCTCTCTCTTCTTCTTCTTCCACCTGTCTGATCCCGTGGTTGTTGTATGCGTAGAGGCCGCAGTACCCGCACAATATCCTACTAGCACCGCACAGCACTGCACCGCACCGCAGCACCCTGTCGCAGCACGCACGCCCCATCCAGGTTGCGTATCACTGCGGCAGCCCGGGCTCATACTAGTCAGCGCTCGCCTGCCCGCTAACAGCGCACTCAACGCTGCCATTCAACGACGCGGCAGGGCCTACGCCGACTAGACCTTGCGGCTGACATCGTCGCTGGCTCCCCCCGCCCTGCTAGCTCGGATAGTGGTTCAAGTCATCGTTATCATCATTGCCCTTGCCCGACACCAGCCCCAGCCCCAGCCCGTGAGCACTGCCCAAACAACCCGCCTGTCCTCTGCATACCACCGATCTGGCGCGCACGCTGGAAGACGATCGCTCCCCCGTCGCCCAGCCTAGCCTCATCTGCCACAGCTTGTCCAGGCAGATCACGACTGCGCCGACGGAGGCCCGCTTCCTGTCTTTTCTTGCCCGCCTCTACCGACCGCCCTAGCACAGCCTCTTGCCCAACCCAACTCAACTCAACTCAACTCAACCACCACACATAAACCCGACTGCTGCCTGCGCCCTTACCTGGCATCCTCGCTGCCAGTAGAAACTGGCACGGAGCTGACGGAGAGAGAGCGAGCCAGCGAATCCAGCCAGCGAGCAAGACCATCCCCGGCTTGGTCTTGCACTCCCCTCCCCAGCTCGGCCGTCGTTTCCTCCCTCTTTCATATGAGAAGCATCAACCGACCTCACAAGACCACGATACATACCGCCCGTCTCGACACACACTCGCTTAGCCACGCCACCTCCTACCCATCATGGGCAACCAACAGTCAAGCAGCAAAGACAAGAAAGGCGACAAGGGCGGTGCCGACGGCGTTCCTCTTGGCCGCGAGTACTACCGCTCCTTTGAGAGATCCGACACCAAAGATTCAACTCGCTCGCTGCGTACCTCGTTGCGCAACAAGATCCCCATCACCGGCAAATCCGACAGTCCACGAAACTCGGTTGCCGGCATTGGCGATGCCAACGGCAAGGTGGACAAGTCGGATGCCGCTTCCACAAAGTCCAAAGGCTCGCGAAGAAACTCGCTAGCTTCAGCCCCCGCGCCGCCCCCCGCGCCAGCGCCCACCGAGGGCGCGACAGAACCCACAGACAGGCCCGAGTTGGACGCAGACGTGCCCCAAGCACCGCCCTCGCCCGTTCACGGCGCAACGCTCGGAACAGGCCACGAGGGAGTGACCAAAGCCCAGCGAACTGGCGAAGTAGACCACGTCTCTGATGTTCCGCCCACGGGAGCCGCACAGCCTTCGGCTTCAGCCCAGCCGGGCGAGTCCATCTTGCAAAAGAAAGACCAGCCTATCCCTAGGCTGCCGGAGCCTCCAGCGCCAACAGATGGCTCGGGCTCGCCCATGGAGATCAGCGCGCTCAAGACAATGGATCTCGATGACATGATTCAGCGACTGCTCGACGCTGCATACGCTGGAAAAGTCACAAAGACAGTCAGCTTGAAAAATGCCGAGATCTTCGCTATTTGCTCAGCTGCTCGAGAAGTATTCCTGAGCCAGCCAGCTTTGCTGGAACTTGCTGCGCCTGTAAAGATTGTAGGCGACATTCACGGACAATACACCGACCTGATTCGAATGTTCGAGATGTGCGGCTTCCCACCAAATTCAAACTACCTTTTCCTCGGCGATTATGTCGACCGCGGCAAGCAGAGCCTGGAAACCATTCTTCTGCTCCTCTGCTACAAGCTCAAGTTCCCTGAGAACTTCTTCCTGTTGCGCGGCAACCATGAGTGCGCTAACGTCACGCGCGTATACGGTTTCTACGATGAATGCAAGAGAAGGTGTAATATCAAGGTCTGGAAGGCGTTTGTCGATACCTTCAATACACTGCCTATTGCGGCCATTGTAGCCCAAAAGATTTTCTGCGTACACGGTGGACTGTCACCCAGTCTGTCGCACATGGACGACATTAGACAAATTGCGCGACCTACCGACGTGCCGGACTATGGCCTACTCAACGACCTGTTATGGAGTGATCCGGCCGACATGGAGAACGACTGGGAATCTAACGAGCGCGGAGTTAGTTACTGCTTTGGCAAAAAGGTCATCATGGAATTCCTGGCGCGACATGACTTCGACCTGGTTTGCAGAGCCCACATGGTTGTAGAAGATGGTTACGAGTTCTTCACAGACCGAGTATTGGTGACTGTGTTTTCTGCACCAAACGTAAGACACTCGTCATCTTTTTTAGCTCTGAACTCAGCTAACATTGTACAGTATTGTGGTGAATTCGACAACTGGGGTGCCGTCATGTCGGTTTCGGGCGAATTACTTTGCAGTTTCGAGCTCCTAAAACCCCTCGACTCAAGTGCGCTGAAGAGCCATATCAAAAAGAGCAGGAACAAGCGCCAAAGCATGCTCAACTCACCAGTACGTATCACAACTGAACGTCCGGGAATTTTGCACAATTCAGGACTATTTATTATATATATAACAGTACTAACAAGGCCGGCAGCCCGCACACTACGCTCCTCAAAGTTACTAATCTTATGCTTGGGTGTAGGGTACCCACCGTACTCCGCCCTCTGCGTCTGCATCTACACCTCTGACAGGAAATATTTTGGTACTACAAAAGCCCAAGTCTTCTGGATTAGCCGATGATGTCACCATGACAGACGAACGAGAAAAGCGAGATGTTACCAAACAGCCACGGTGCGTGCAGAGGAAACCTGGGTTGGGACGACTGGGCAACCAATACGATGATGCCTTCATGCCTGTGCCCACGAAACATAGACACGTCAGATCAAGCACTTGGATAGATACTCGAAGTGAGCCTACTACAATACCCAAAAGCCCTAGCGCGCCGTTGCTACTGCAAAACGTGCATTCGCACAGCGCTAAACAACTAGTTAGGCGAAGAGCAAAGGAAACAGAAGCTCGAAGAACAGAGGGTACTATGGGAGTCTACGCTTCCTAAATCTCTCCTAGATCATATTGGAGGTTTCGCTACCGGACACCGTCTCGACTATGTTCATCCCACAGGCATGCGACGAAGCAGCTGAGCATGCGATATCTTGCCAATGGTTCTTTCTTCTCTAAGGACCCCTCCAGATTTTCGTTATTAAACCGGACGCTAGGCTTTATTTTCTATGGGGGGTTAGGATGGATGATGCAACAATTTACCTGTTTGCTCTATTCTCCGAAAGCTTGTTTTTTTTCATTTCTTCATCTCCTAATGGTCTTGCGCATTTATAGGCGTAGGCGTATATCATGCACGTGGGCTTTTATCAGCTTACTTCTCTCCCTCAACTTGACCATGTCCTGATATGGTAGAAAGCATGACGTATCGATGGCTCTACAAGATGAACGGAAGTGGGACGCAATGTTAGATGTATAGCATACCGATGACAGTTGTAGCCCGTCTTTTTCTCATTAATACTATCTATACATCTCTTATTGAAGACACAGATGGCTTCCTTGACGTGACGCTCTCCTCATACGGATATGCCAGCCTGATATGCGATTTACATAGGTGTCGTACCGAACCTTTGTACTTCTGTTCTTACTCTAAGTTTAATTGTACATACAAGCTCTAACCTGCCCTATCTCATAGCCAACCGAATCCACGCCACGATATCGCCTCGAGTATTACTTTTACACAACTCTATTCCCGTCCAGTTGTATTGCGTACGCCAGTAGCAAAAAAAACCTCGCAACATCTAGCTATTCCCATCTCCATATACATCTCCAATCCCGTATATCCCCCCGCATATCCTCATCCCGCTCATCCTGCGACCTTATCATATGCACAATCCCCGGGGGATGGATCCCACCACTGTCTACTCCGTCATCCTGCACCTTACCAGTTCCGTTTCCCTCACACACTTCCATGCCATAGTGTTTAATTGCTATCTAGAAACTTACGTACTCTTCCGGCACCATCTGTCCATCCACACCGCGGAACTACTCCTCGCGCTCCGGCGTCTAGCATAGCGGTGTCGAGATGCGCTTTGAGCATTGCGGGGGATATAGGTCATGCGTCGTAGATTTCGTGGATGAATTTTTTGTCGGGGGGCCTTTTCAAGGAGCGGAGCATGGTTTTGAGCTCGGATTTTCCGATTAAGAGTCTGGCTAGTGAGTAAGGGGTGGTGTTCGCGGTGCTTTCGTTATGGACTGGGCTGAGCACTTTGAGGGGATCTGGAAGTTGGTGTAGGTCATTAGGTGGTGAGGCTTGGGTTGATGGAGGGTATGGTGTTGGCGATGACATTGTTGGGTTTGACCCTTGGTGCTGGAAAGAGATATGAGCGGTTATCAGGCTTTTTTAAGTGTATGTCCCGAGGAAGGTTCGGGCGAGAAGAGAAATAAACGTATCTCACAATAGAGATTTTTGGTTGCAGGAAGAGGCGGTAGTGCTTATGACATGTAGGCGGAATTTCATCCTAGTTATAAGCGATGTATAATGTGCTGACCAACCGGCTCCCAAATGACGTAGTGGTGTTGATGGACAGCATGGCAGCGGCACAGATGTACATGACCTTGTGTTGCAATGGCCTCCCTTATAAAATGGTTGCTAACGCTTCTCGATGAGACATAGTGGCATCAAGGTAAACAGCTGATTCAAATATCTATTGCCCCTCCATCTTAGCAGCAATTGAATTTATTTCGAGCAAGAAATAAAGGCGGTACCAAATCGTTGAGGGAGGATACTGCAGTGTATACTTATCACTGCAACGTCTGGCTACAATACAACACTATTCGTCTTAGAAACAAGATCTAGCACACCAAAACACAAACCGGACATAAAATAATACAATCGATACGCGTCAAACCAAAACACTAGACCCCGGCCGCTGCATCCCCTTCCACCTCGCCACCACGTTCTCCTTCTCCTCGTTTGAAGCCTGCTCCAAATCACGCGCACCCTGTCGCAGTCTGATAAGATACAATTCCGTCTGAAGCGGAGTGATTCTATGCTTGGATAACGCGCACTCAATTCCTTTGAGCGTGTAGCCAGGTAATCCCCAGATGGCTGTTTAGGAAAAGACTGACTTAGCAACTGGATCGTTGATGCAAAGGGGATGAGAAGACTTACCAGCTGAGGTGTGGCATGCGAAACCCCCAATGCCCCGTCCAATACCTTTTGGTAGACCCAGTGGACCTTCGAGTTTGGTGCCGAGATAGGGGTGTTTTACTAGTCCAGCGAATGCGTCGTAGAGACCTAGTCGGAATTCCTGTTGGGAAGGGACGTTGGTTAGCTGCTGTGCTTTTTCATGGATGGGTGGTATGTACTTTGCCTGCAACAGCTAGGCCGCTGCCCAGACCGACGATTTCGTCGCGGCGTCGGTGGTGCTCGTTGGCTATGGAGCGGGACGGGAAGTTGCGGAAGCCGTTGGCCACGTTGTAGAAGAGTGCCACGGGGGCTTCTTTGATTAGAATTGTGACGCTGAAAGAGACGATAGATATCTGGACGTACCTTTTAGATGTGTCATGGTCACGTCTCCTGCATAGTGGAGAGTTGCGCTGGTTATTTGGTAGGCTCTTCCATGCTCAGCTTCTTGGGCAGCTAGGGGGGCATAAACTTTTGCTATTTCTTGTGCATCTAGCGCCTTTTCAATATCGACTTGCCAATGGTCTTTCAAGGATTTAGTTGCCATCATACTGGCGAAATGGGCTAGCCAAATGCGAATTTTGGTTTGGTCTTTATGTTCTTCGTCTCGTCCCTCTTTTTTCTGAGTATTGGTCGCCCCTGTGGGATCAATACCCTGTAAATTTGGTTGTTTCAGACGGTGGGAAAATTCAGATGTGTTGATTGCAAGGTTAGTAAAGAAGCTGGAAGCTGCAGCTACGGCGCCAGTCAATGGTGCTTCTGCTCCTTCGTGGACATCTTCGGTTGTTAGCATGCGATAATGAGAGTTGCGAATAAAGTCTTACACCACTGTCTATGGCGGAGCCTAGAGTAAGTCAGCTTTTGAACACGTCTGGGCCTCAGCAACTAATAAAACACTTACAATCGTAGATCATTTGGATCTACCAGTTTTTGCTTTGCAAGAACAAACGCAGCGAGCCCGCTAAGATGGGCCCCCGATTTCTTATCCCTCCATACTGCTAGGCGTTCCGGACAGACATGACACCTCATCTCATCTACCCTTAGTGCGCTCTCAAAATCCTGCACCATCTCTGAAGCTCCATCCTCTTCTGCAATGCAAACCGCCATCTTCTTGACAGCAATGTCGACTTCGGGTCTCAATGCAAACTTGATACTCTCAGCCAAGCCTTCCGGCGTGAGTTGTCTATAGGGAATAGGTTTCGGACCTGCGCCTGCTTTGGCGACCATTTTCCCCCAGAATGGCTGGTCTCCAAAGAATGGTACTATAACAGTGGGTTTCCCAAGTGCTATACCCGCTGCCGTTGTGCCTGCGCCTCCATGATGAACCACGCAGGAGACGTGCTGGAAAAGCCAGTCCTTTTTTTGTGTGAGTCCTTTTGTCTAGAAACCCTAGCTTGTAGATTCACTATACTTACGTGAGGGCAATTCCCAATCATGTAGACATTCTCAGGCGTCTTTTCTGTGCCTATACCCCCCCATCCTTTGGAGAGAATGGCACGAACTCCAGCTAGCTTAATAGCCTCGAATATGAGATTAGTCAGGTGCACAGGGTCATCTACGACGATAGATCCGAAGCCAATGTAGACTGGTGTAGGACCTTTCTCAAGGAATGAAAGGAGATCATCAGGTGGTGAATAAGATGAACCAGCTTTCAGGAATGAGAAACCTGTTACATTGAGATGCTCAGGCCAATCTGATGGCTTAGGAATGAGGGCTTGTGACCAGAGATAGGAATGGGGGACTTTAAGCCTTCGAAGCAGCTGGAATCCCCAAAGCGGGCTTATCTATATAACGCAAAATGGTCAGTCTGAGCAAAGCTGTACACTGAGACGGAATTCTTACGATGTCGAGTTTCAAGGTGCGTGTTCTGAATCTATTGATGAGATCCCCCAGTCTAGTACGGTTAGCAACCTCCTGTCAAAATTGATCTGAATGAGAGCCTACCCTTGCCAGGTCACCAATTCCATTACAGCGAAGCTAACGTAGTTTGCTGAAGACTCATCTGCCTCACCATATTCCATTGCGGCTAGTGGATGGTGGAAAGCTTTTGTTGGTGACCATGGCATCGTGAACACAATATGTAGAGGTATTCCTAGCCTTTCTGCGCAGTGGATATGGCCCATGGACGGTGGGTTGGCAATGATGACATCCGCAATAAATAAGCTCTCAGTCTGCTCCACATCTACTGCAGTGATTTTAGGTCCTAGTCCGTCTCCAGCTTCGATACAGCTACGCCATGTGCCTTCGAGTATCGTTGACATCTCCTTTCGCCTCTTGCTCACTTCGCCAGCCCTGATGCTTTCCATACCTGGAAGTAAGCCCGGGTTCTTTACCATGTACGCCATGAGAGCTTCTGGGTCACCCCCAATAGAAAAGAACTCGAGGCCATTGCTTTCCTTTGGCACGTAAGTTTCCAGGATGTTGTACAGATGCGAGTAAATTATTTGCTCCACTCACCACGAAATCTTTGAAGGCTGGGTGTGTACATATTCGTACACGATGACAATATGGAGGTGCTTGAAGTAGTTTGGCGATTGGAATGAAAGGTTGCACATCTCCTCTAGAGCCGCAAATGTGAATCGCAATGTTGAGTCTTGGCGAGGGAAAATCCGCTTGTTGGCTGTGAGAAACGTAAAGTTGTGGTGTATTGTCTGTATTTTTCCTGCTCACTGAGTTGCGCTGTTGATTTTTGAACCAGTGCTCAAGGCGTTTCGGAGTGTGATGAAAACGAACGGCAACTTGGCCAAGCCTGTTTACTCTGCCTGAAATATGTGACCTTGGATCGTGGAAGTGCCAACGTTCCGGATGACCCGAGAAACAGGAAGACATGGTTGTGGGAGCATTAGGTATACAATAATGGTGATACTAGCAATGTCAGAGAGTCTGTGCAAGGAAGTCTTTGGGTCGAGCGCTATAAGATGGCGGCAGTTTGTATGACATATAAAGTCGGCGCAGGGAATGCATTCAGGTCCTGGTGTCAGCAAAGGTGGAAGATCCGGATGGCTAACAGCGCCAGGCAGCGAAAAGTCGCGGACGAATACATGCGAACGGCCATGTCGCTTGCGAGTCCAGCTCGTGTCGAGCATGTCCTATATAATATCTCAGTTCTGGAATCCTTCGACTACTTGATCGATCCTCTCACGTGTGGCACACGTCACAAAGTAAGCCCGAATGCGAAAAAAAAGTGCGTGGCATTGGAGGATAAGCTTCCTGAGTACAACAGATGATCGCCACCACCTAGCATTGTTTCTTGTATCGACAGAAGAGATCTGGTGCTGACCCATATGTTTGCTTGCACAGGCAAATCGTGGGTGCATGTAAAACCCACCTTCATGGTTCGCACGCTCTTGATGCAGCCAAAGAGTTTAGGCTGTCACCACTCGGTGGCCAAGAGCTCCGACGTCAGATTCCCCCGGTGACATAGAGGAGCCCCCTCGGCCGAAGATTTGCGGTTATCGGAGATACGAGTAACCCTCGGATTGTAGTGCGCAGATGGCACTTCTACAAGTATTTTGCTTGATGGCCTGCCCTTTACGTGCATAACTGCTTAATGTGAGTTTTGTGGCCAGGCGAATAGTTTAGAGAGATTGTCCTTGTACGAACCAACACCGGATGCCTCGGCAGCATGTTAGGCGACAAGAGCAAACGCCAATGTTGTCACTCTTCTTCATCGGGACTAATACATAGAATATCACTCGCCTCTAATTCATTCTAGAATAATATTCGGGTTCGGGTTTACTCGTTCCGTTCTCAAAATCTCGATCAGACTGTGAAAAGATTCATGCTTCCATGGAGACGCCACCGGTGGCGCAACACATAAGGAACAGGAGTACAAAACGCGAAATTCACTGCTAATCACGCATTTATAACTGTAGAATCATTAGTTTAATAACCAAACTACACATTACATGTTCCAAGAACTTGACCACACTGTTGTCTGTTTTGATGCAGCGTATTTTAGTTTTCCCGATGATAGGGCTCAGGCTCAATGTGAACCGCGACTAAGTTTATCTCTACATTTTAAACAATCTTAGTCGTGTTCATCGCTTTGACCCATGGCTTCCAGAACTCTTCAATACCCCGTTCGTAGTTCCATCCAGACCAATCGTAGTTGGTCATACCCCACGTATCGGGGAACCCTTGTATTCCGGATCTGATTCTGTATGAGCCCGCAATGGCCCACATCATCCAGCTCACGCCGTGGTCGATGGTGTAATCCTTCAAGCAGTTCTGGAGAGTATTGTTGAAGAGGGTCTCGTCCTGGGCACTGCCAAACTCGCTCAGAATGACTGGTGTCTCACGCACAGCCTTGGGGCAGTCACC